TGTTTTTAGTAATTATAAAATAAAAAAAATAGTTTTATAAGCTACTGCTCCTACTAAATATATAATAACTATATAATATTTTTTATATTATACTTTTAAAATCTTATTATAATAACCTATCCCAAGTGTTAAATATTAGCCTTATACTAGTAAATAGTAAGAAAAAATACTTTATTAAAAAAATTCTTAATATTTATAAATTTAAGGGCAAAGTATAATACCTTATAAAATAACAAAAATAAAATAATATAAAAAATAATACATGGGAACTAAAGGCTTATATAACTAAAATTATAGCACTTAAAAATTTTAAAAAAACCTATAAAAATAAGTTGCGTAAAGCAAAGAGACATTAAATATAAATATTTATATTTATAATTTACACGCACTTATAAAAAAAAAAAATATATTATTTTTATTAATTAGCGGCGCCCGCAGGGCCTTTTAATAAAAAAAAAATATAAATATAAAATAAAATAAAAAATAATAAAAAAAACTTAAATAAGCGGCTAAGCCGCGCGGCGCGTAGTACCTAATATATATAAAATAAAAATTAAGCCTATAAGGGCGCTAATACTAATACTTAATATAAAAGTAACCTTAATAAAAATCCTTAAAAGCGCTAAGGCGCAGCAAACCCCGCACTAAAAGTAATAAAAGTTTATAAAAAAAATTAGTAATATAATATAGTATAAACTAAAATATATAAATATATGCTTAGCGGCCAAAGCCATATCTATATAAAAAAAAATTATAATTATTAAAGTAGTGCTAAATAAAGGTTTAAAAACTAGGAAAAAAATTATTATAATAAATTAGTAAATTAAAACATGGTAATATTACGGGAAGAAAACTAACTTATATAATAAATTATTATTTTTATTAAAGGGGGCACTAACCTGTAAAGTAAAGTTAAATATAAATATAATAATATTTACAGGGTTAGTTACTTGTGTATTATTAGCTATAATAATTTACTTAATAATTATTTTAAATACTTAATAAACTATTTTTAAGGTAGCAAGGTTTTTATAAGCTTATAAATTATTAGTTTTTATATATATAATATTAATAATATTAAGAATATTTTATAGCTAGTTACTTACTAGGGTAATATTAATAGCTATATATTTTAAAAGCACCCTTTTTATATTATAATAAAACTAGTACTTCCTACCCTTTAAGTAATTATATATAAGGGCTTTTATTATAATATTTATAATAAATATATTTTTATTATAATACCCTGTAATAATAATATATATAATATACCATAGGATATAAAAATTAAGTAGTAAAGTTATAAAGCCCGGGGGCAGTAGGGGGAGAATATTAACAAGAGTTTTATTAGTAAGGGTAGCAGGGGTAGTAGCAGGGGTAGTAATAATAGTAATAATAATAGGGGCACGCAAGTATTAAAATTAAGTTATTTTAATAGCTAGTATATTAGTAGTTATTAATATGCAAGTAAAAGGCAGGGAAATATGATTTTATATATTAAAGGTAAAATAAAAAGTAGAGACTAAAACTAAGGCTTGATTATTATAATAAAAAAATATAAAATAAAATATTATAATAAAATAAATAATTATTAATAATAATATTTAAAGCGCGATATAAGACTATATTAAATATTAAAATAAAAAAAATATAAAGTAAAGGGCAAGCGTGGGAGACTTTAAAAAAAAAATAGGGTTAAAAACACGTGGTATAATAAAGGCTATAATAAAAATAAACTATATTTAATTTAATTACTAAAAATAGTTTTAAAAATATAAAAATAATAAGAGCTAAATATAAAAAATTTATTAGCTAAATTAAAAAGGTAAGTGCGTAGTAGGATATAAAAAAAAGGTAAATAAAAGGCTAATATAATAATATATTAATAATTAAAATAAAATAACTATATATTGCAAACGGCTGCTAAAGGTATTAAAAAAAGTGTAAAAATAAGGAAATTTAGCTATTTAAAGCTTAAAGCTTTATTATAAAAACTAAATATAAAGTAAAATAAAATATACGGGCCTAATAATACTAACACAGGATTAATATTACTAAAATAAATAATATAATATTTAAAAAGTATAAGAAAGGGTAAATATAGGGTATTTTAATCTTAAAAATATAATTAAATAATTAAAAAGTAATAAAAATATAATAAAAAGGTGTATACTTATAGCAGGCATTTTTAATTAAGTTATAAAAAAAACTTAAAAAAAAAAAAAAAAGAGAGATTACAAGGGTGCTTTAGTATTAAAACTAAAATATTATACCTAGCTACCGCAGGTAGTAATGCTATATTTAAATTTAAAAGTAAAATAAGGTAATTAAATTAATTTTTTATACCTAACTTTAAATATAAATTGCATGTAAACTATAATACTTTATAAACCTAAAAATAGTTTATTTTATAGTGCTTAATAAAATTTATAATTTAAATTATGTTTTATAAAATATAAATATAAATTTATAAATTACAAGGGCGTGATTACTTAAAAAAAAAAGTATTATTATTATTATTATAGTATTATAACTATATAATATTATAATAATATAATTTAGCGGCTTAAGGCCGCCAGGTAAAAAAATATTAATATTAAATTAACCACGCGCCAAGGCGGCGGCTAGTTATATAATATATAAAATATTAAGTTTAACTTTAAACTCTAACTTAAAGAATTAGTAATTAGTTCCTACTATAAATACACAACGCCTTTCCTATTGTAGTAATTCACGTTCTCCTAAGCTCACCGCAGTATATAAACGCGACTCATACTTATCCCCACCTTTTTTTTTTTATTAGTAAACCTGCTTTTTTTATAAATTTAACTATAATACTAAGGTATGTTTTAGTAAATGCCTTTTAGGCGGCGGCGGACGTGTTTTTTTAAGTAATTATTATATTAAATAAGTTATAAAGCCACTTAGCGCGGCCACGGGTTTATAGTTAGGCTAAGATTAATATTTAAGTAAATACTTAATTATTTACTAGGTAGTATTATAACTACTTTATAATATAGTTATTATTTTTTTTTTTTTTATTTTTATATATTTTTTTTTATAGCACGGGCGGCGGCGGTAATATTCTTAATATTAATTTTTATATTATTATAATTAATTACTAGCTTTGCAGACTATTAGTTAGGGTATTTATTATAATAATTATAATATTTACCTTTTAAGGTATAATAGTAGTTAGCATAGGCGCTAAATAGTAACCTATTAATAATAATATAACTTATAAATAATTTATTTTTTTTATATACTAAACATAGGGCGTAAAGGGGTATTTTTTAATAATTTATGCTATAATTATTTTTATATTACTAGGTAATATAAAGGTAGCCTTTAGGTGCTTAACCTATAATTTTAGCTTTTATATTAATAGTATTTTAGCTAGTACTTACTAGTAATAGTTACTTATAGCCTTAATATAATTTATAATATATTATATAGTTAGCACGCTAGGTAATAATTTTATAATAAAATATAAAAATATAATAAATAATATAGTTATAAATTATTTTTTATAATAATATACTAAAAAAATAGTATAATTAGGTTTAATTTTAAAAAATAATTATATTAATATATAGCTTAGTATCACAAAGTTAAGTTTTAAATATTATAAAAATAAATAAGGTAATAGTTATTTATTACCTATTAAAAATAAAATATAGCTTAAATAATAATAAAATAAGGCTATAATATTTAATTAATAAGTTATAAACTATAATAACACGCTTTAAGTAAGGCTTTTAAAGTTATTAAGTAATTAATTTTATTAGTTTAAAGTTAAATAAAAAATATTAATAAACTAAAATAATATTAATACTTTACTAAATACTTGCCTTTAAATGCTAGATTTTTGCCTATGGTTTATATAAGCTATTTTTAATAATATTTATAGTTAATTACACTTAATAAATTATAGTAAATTTAAACTTTTTTATTACTAGGGTCTAGCCCCAGGAAAAATAAATTAAAAAAAATTACTTACTTATTATTATTATTATATTTAATACCCTTAAAACTAGCTTTATTAATAAAATTATTTATTATAAAAATTATAACATGGGACAGGGTAACTAGCCTAACTATAGTAATATTAAAGTTTATTATTACTATAATTATAAGGTAATACAGGCGGCAAGTAAATTAAATAGCATGTATAAGTAAGGTAGTAATATTTA